GTGGCGGTGTGGCCATTTCTCTTAGATCTTAGTCCTCTCTGGGTGAACTCGGCCTGGCAGGCACCCCGGGAGCGAGGTGCTTCCCGAGTTCCCCAAACGGCTCCGTCGCCGCCATCTTGAGCACGTGGCGCCGGCCCAGCCCGGGCAGCCGCCTGACCAAGGGCCAGGGAGCGAGGGCAGCACCCTCCTCCCCTCTCCTCACTCCTGGGCAAAAGACCTTTTCCTGTCCCTTTGTCTCAACTTAAATAGGGCAATTCACAGAGGCACCGATTTGGTTCAACCCCCAGAGGGGAATGGGACTCAGATCTGGTGGCACAGGGAGCAAATCCCCTCTCCTGCCACCAGAACAACCCCCCACATCGAACTATTACACAACCCCATGTACCAGTACAAGTTGGGGACTGAACTGTTGGGGAGCAGCACAGGGGAAAGGGACCTGGGGGTCCTGGTGGACAGCAGGATGACCACGAGCCAGCAGTGTGCCCTTGTGGCCAAGAAGGCCAATGGTATCCTGGGGTGTATTAGAAGGGGTGTGGTTAGTAGGTTGAGAGAGGTTCTCCTCCTACTCTACTCTGCCCTGGTGAGGCCGCATCTGGAATATTGCGTCCAGTTCTGGACCCCGCAGTTCAAGAAGGACAAGGAACTGCTTGAGAGGGTCCAGCACAGGGCCACAAAGATGATGAAGGGAGTGGAGCATCTCCCTTATGAGGAAAGGCTGAGGGAGCTGGGTCTCTTTAGCTTGGAGAAGAGGAGACTGAGGGGGGACCTCATTAATGTTTATAAATATGGAAAGGGTGACTGTCATGAGGATGGAGCCAGGCTCTTCTCAGTGGCATCCAATGATAGGACAAGGGGAAATGGCTATAAGCTGGAACATAGCAGGTTCCGCTTAAACATGAGGAAGAACTTCTTCCCAGTACGGGTAACAGAACACGGGAACAGGCTTCCCAGAGAGGCTGTGGAGTTTCCTTCTCTGGAGATGTTCAAAACCCGCCTGGACACGTTCTTGTGTGATCTGATCTAGGTGGTCCTGCTCAGGCAGGGGGATTGGACTAGATGATCCTTTGAGGTCCCTTCCAATCCCTAACATTCTGTGATTCTGTGATTCTTCTCAAAGAGTCTGTACACAACACACTTCACGGGAACTATCACAGTTCTCACAAAAAATACGTACTTGAAAATGTGAACACACAAACCTGATAGGTTTGTTTAACTTATCATACTGCTCTGTAACAAGCGTGCAACTTTTTTTTTTTAAATGAAGTAAAACATCTTGCTAAAAGATTCATAAAATCTTCATTAAAAAAGCAGAAAAAAATATTTTTTTAAATCCTCCTGCTCCCCTGTTTTAGGTTTTTTTTGCACACTTTATTATAATTAAGTATTACTGTCAGCATTTAAACCTAAACTGGTATCATCTGGTCCCTGAAAATCTAGAAAAAAAAAGAGAAAAACACCTAAGAGCTCCAATTAGGCAGCATATGAATCACATATGTACCATATGAGTCCAAAATTCCTTACAAACCTTAAGAGGCATTAAACTAAACCATGCATAATTCAAAATTAATTCAGAAACAGGTATCTAGAAGAAAAGCATGGCAGGGCACAAAGCAGCAACCAAAAAACCACTACAGTCAAGGCTGACTTCACTTTCAAGAGCTCTAAAGAATTTAGTACAAATTCAACACTCAAGATATTAGAAAAGTACAAGTAGGCACTCAATATATTCCATTATTATTAAAGCAGGAGCAGTCCTGCAGGTTTTACAGAAATAAAAGAAAAGATAGTAAAATATTTTACTATACATACATACACATCCACGAAACCAAAAACTTTTATGTTAAGGATGCTATGCCACCTTTCTTCTTCTTAATGTAAATCTTGTTTATTGAAAGACTTGCAAATTGTTACAGTTCCTAAGAACAGGAAGGGTAATTTCACTTTAAAGAAGAGCCACATAACGTAATATGTTCAAATGCATTTTTGTGCAGTGCCATAAATGTCGAATTTTTTCATATTCACTCAAATATACATGACAGTAAGTGCCATACTTGAAATAAAAGATCGAGTAACTTAACTGCAGTGACATTTGTACTATGTATAATGTAAATGCTGACTCAGCCTCAACTACAGTAGCAAACGTTAAGGTGTAGTCTAACACAACCTCGATACCTGCAAGTCAAGTGACATAAGCTTTGCTCCAAAATGAGTAAAACACACAGCCAGTTTAGACTATGTAAGACTTACAGGTGAGGATCGAGATGCTTCCTTCAGTTTTGACATTGTCGTTTGAAAACTTCCGATGAGGTCATGAGACCCATCACTATCGTAGTCATAGCACTCAACCTAAAATGAAGTGTTATTTAGTGTTAGTAACAGAAATGGCCCTACAAAAGCAATAAACACTGCAATAAACAATGCGATGGCATTTCTAGTTCAGGCAAAGCTGAATATCCAAAACATTCCCAAAACTCTTGTGTCATGGAGTTTTTCTCGCATTGCAGTCTTAGAATTGCAGAGTTGCATTTAAAAATTATGGATTAAGACTGGGTAAAAGCCAATATACCCAGCTTCAGATCTGATCTTCCACTGAAGTGGAGACCAGAACACTAAGTGGAGTCAGGTCCCACATGAGCAGGTAACATCAATTATATCGAACTGTGTTTTGGGAGTGAGGGGGTGTTAGGAAGTAGGAAAATAACCTGTAGGGGTTTTTTAATTTCATCATGGATTAACAGACTTAAGTTTTTCATAGTTATTAAGGAAATTTAACTATTTCTGAGCACCCAGCTAAAAGTTTAGTACATCGGTTGTTCAGTGATCATGAGAGTTTTATTGATACTTTATATTACTTTACTAATCTTCAAGGTAGCTCAGAATTTATAAGTATACGAAGGTTCAGTCCTAAATCTCGAAACAAGACTTGAATATTTTTTTTAAGATTAGCATATTTTAAATCATTATGATCCACACTTCATGGATCTGAATGTCAACTAAAAATCCCTCTTTTCCTGTATTGAACGTTTAATGCTAAGTTCTACTGTTCAATCAACTCATCTTTTAACACCACAACCCACCAAAGGCGGCAGAACAAGTGAAAAATAGACTTTTTCTGTTTGAGAACCGGCAAGTCTGAGTGAATATAATTTTAACACTGTTAGTTTAACCTCACAGTGTCCTCAATTTCTGTTTTTTAAAAGCTCAACTTATGAATGTGCCTTAACTGACCTTCTGGATAAAAAGCTGGGTATTTATCTATAATAGCATATGCTAATTCCATCCATTTCTGATATTTTATTTCAGTTCAGCAACACAGACATGGCTAGTTAACTTAATCAGATCACAGAAAAATAAATTAAAATAATTTAGTAATTATAATTATAAATAATAACAATAACAAATCAAGAGTCAAAGTAGGAATCCTCCATCATTTGGAGTCAAAACACAAACTTCAAGAAAAAATTTACTGAATATATATGGCTTAAACTGAACAGCTATTTTCACACCCACCTTTCCGGAAAGAAAAAATCCTATGTTATATTCAAGAAACAATTCAGTTGATTATTTGCCCACTTCATTTAGGAATAACAAACTAAAATAAACAACCTTAAGATACAATTGAGTTTCTGAGAGGAATTAAGTTTCTGAAGACGAAGAATAATGTTGAAGTATAAAATATGATGCATAGATTGCAAGTTCTACGCTGTGCAGAACATGCCTCTGTGCTGCAGTTTGCTCTACTCCTACAACATTTTTAATTCACTAATAAATAAATAAAATGCATGCACATGCACTGAATAGCAACTTAAATCTCACACAAGCAGCCACAGTACCAACAGACTAACGTTCATGGCAGATACTGTGTAAAAATTCTTTTGACGGCCATAAATTAAGCCAATCAAATACACAGTCAAGTCCTTCTGCACCTGAAAATTTAAAACTGAAGACATTTCCTGAGCCAAAAGTTACGATACCTGTTCACAGCTAGCACTGTTATTTCGTTTTCCTTTTAAAGGGATTAAAGTTCGTCTTGCTTGATATACTTGACTGATGTAAGTCAATTTTCAACACTCACTCCAGGCAAAACAGAAACATTTCTTTTGTCCCACATACGCTCTCTTGGACACGCAATAGCGCCAATGAATCATGTGATAAAGTTTCATATATTTTTTCCCCAGCAGAACTAGGCATGCTTGCTCCAGATGAAAGGCTCACATTCTCAACACAGAAAAACTTCACTGACTGCAAACACACTCACATGGAAAATAGCAATAAACCCAGAAGAAACAATCAACGTCGTTTGTGCACTGCTGGAGATACACAAACTAAGCCATTAAATAAGTGAAAGCCACTCATTATGGAAGAGTTGGTGGTTTTACTTACTATGTCAAAGAGCCCATCACGTGTACAACTGTGCGCATACAAAAGCGTTAAAAGCATTGTTTAATCCTTCAACATTATAATACAATTCTGTCTGCATTTTAAAGTTTGAAGTGATAGCTCCTGGATTTCTAAGTTAAGACATAATCCTACTGTCTGTCTGCAAGCCCATAACTTTAAGTAAAACCTATTTCCTCTGGAAGCAAACCTACACTTGTGAGGTAAGATTCCGAACAACAGACTTTATTAACACGATGACAGAGCTGAGAATAACTCCATTTTAATAGACATACTTTAATCAATAGTGTATAGTTTAAGTATGGCTGCTTACTGAAAAAGAGAAATATATTTACAGTATATGGAGATGTAACAGCTGTCACAGCTACTTTGGGGAAAAGGGAAGCAGAAAAGAATAAGAAGGAAAAAACACAGAAGCAGCAAGCGAAGCAGATTCTGGGCTTGTAAAGTTGTTCATTAGTCTGCTCTATAATTATATATTTAAATCTATACAGGTGCTGTAACACCTAGATCCCTGTGGCTGTTAAGCATTTTCCAGGACTGCCTCAAGTCATATGACTAATATCTGTCACATGCAGATCATGCTCTCATTTTTCCTTTCCAGAGGAAAGGACGGCAAGTACAGTGGTTTGTTTCATCTGGTGTTTTTTTCAAATGCTAAAATATCAGGTTCCTAACATGTTCATAATAGCTTATAAATGACATTTTGATCGGTTGTTTAATTTCCCTTAAAGGGAATTCCTGAAGAAAAACATTCAGACATTAAACATAATTTATTCAAGATAAGATTTGAAAACACGAAGAGTTAAAGACCATTCCTGGTAAAAATATCACTTCACAGGTTTGGCTGACTTCCTGACAGAAAATTCAGTTTCATCTGAGGAGAAAAGTTGCTACATTTGGTATCCACAAGAGACATCTGGTCCACATCTGTTACCTCAGCTAGTATAATAAGTGTAATTAATTGTATCAGCTAGGATATTGAGAATTTCATTAGCACTACGTGTTGCCTCAGTAACAAACTATTACAAGATCCATAACACAGAACAAAGCATATTCTAGCCTTTAGCATGCATCTTTCACTATACAGTACTTTTTCACCATGAATTTTGGCTGATGCAACATTAAAACTGTACGATCTACATAAGAAACTGAATTGGACATTTCAAAGCTACTTACGTGAAAGTCTGGGCAACCAGTTGAAAAGATCAACTTTTAGCAGATAATGAGTCACAAATGTGAGATTTATTTTTTTTCCCAAAACACGCATGTATCTTTCTGACTTTCAAATAAAATAAGAAACCTAATACTTTCAATTCAATTTGAAACAAAGAGGTAGTAACTAGAATAACACCTCTTCCATTTATTACATATTCTAATTTTTTAAATGCATTAATTCATATGCACATTTCATATACATTACCTTGATTGATTTATCCATGTCACTGTAACACAGAGAATTGAGAGAGATTTTAAAGGGCCTCCAAACAGGATTCAGGTTGTTTTTAATGACCTGTTAAAAAACAAACAAACAAAAAAACCCAGAATAGTATTGTTCACAAGAGTGGGAAGTAGTCATTGTAATTGGTCGTAGCTTCATGCCACGACTTTTGTAAGCAAAACCAGTTGACTAATACTGCTGTGAATCACCTCCTGCCATTCAAATTCTAACATACAGAATATAAACAAACTAAACATTCCTAACATGCAGTACCACTATCCAAAAGAGATGTTATCTTTCAACTATGTATTTTTCTAGACTGCATTGTGATCTACTATATCATTTAGCTACTACACTGCAAAAAAATAAATTTCTTTATCGTTACAAAGATACTGACATTGGTTGTGGGTTTTTTTTTAAATAAACACACACATATATACATACACACAAACATATCTAAGAGCATGACTTAAAAAAAACATGGAAAAAGATTGCATTGGAATTTCTGAATACATCAATGCTCTGGACATTACAATTCACTCCAGCTTATATTTATTCTGAAATGCCACTTATTGAAATATTCCCTCAAGAAATCCATTGTATAGTTAAGCAGAAACAGTGCATGAGGATAAAAAGACACCCTTCTGCACACAGTCTCTCAAGCTGAATGCTAAATAAGTGATATTTAAGAATAATATTGAAAACATCTTCAGAATTTGTCAACTGAAAAGTACCTGTAATATGCTCAATACACAAAATAATGATCTTATAAAGCACAAAAAACTACACACAATAAGCAATATTTCATTAATAATACCTAGTAATAGTAATATTTATACTTCCAGCACTGTAGGAATACAGAGAAAGAAATCCCTCTTTTGCAAATGAAAACAGTAAATAATAGTTTGTAACATAAAAAGGTTTTTAAAATCTGTAACATAAAGAACTAATTCTTCAGCCAGTTCTCGATTGGAAGAGCAAAATCTGGATTCATTATTGAAATTGAAGATGACTGAAATCCTCATGGAAAAGACATATTTTTATGCAAAAGAACCACCTCATCAGAGAAACTAATTTTATAAATCTGACACAAAAAAAAACATCCATGCTTCAAAATTAATACATTCACCACTTCAAATGTACCTCGGTTGTGACTAAGGCCTGAGCAAACACTACAGTGAGATATTTTGAACCTACTCCTACCCTGTGAGTTGCTGCCACAAGACCTCTGCATCTCCTCCTGCGTGGAAGGCTGCTGCTCACCAAGCACGTTTCTCCTCACTCAGCATTCTCCTTGGCTTGCCCTTGCTATGCAAGCGTTCAGTATAATTACTTTCATTAGTAAACGGTACAGCTAGGTGACACTGACATAAGAACAGCACAGCCACAGGAATGCCCAAGTTCTACCCTCAGGGTAGCACTGAGACACATGCCCCTTTGTGACTAAGCACTATCTTTTCAAAACATTTGCAGAAAGTTAAAAAAAAAAAAAAAAGGTATTTTCCTTTAAAATAAGATGTCATAAACCAGAATCAGGGTAAGACAGACTTCCTGTCTTATCAGAAAATCAGTGGAAGAGCTGAGGTGATTTCTAACTGCATGTCAACTAGCAGACCATTCTCCCTCCTTTTTGTAAGGCACTGTATCTCTAGTGTTGTGGCACACTGGAAAACAAATAACCTTAATCTCTAGGTTGTTGACTGAAAATAACCTACCTCTGTTCTGTGAACCATCACCCAGTTTCCATCTCCAGTCTGCTTGTGGAATTCCAGATAAGGATCTGACTTACCAAAAAAATCCTGTATTTAAAGAACATGTAATTATCCTAGAAGAGCCTCCGGCATGAATGTCATTAAATGCTAGTTAAAACACACTCAGATTAACAAAAAGTAAACTAAACATTCGGGGAACAAAAGCTTTAGGGGAAGAAATGCAAGTCTGATTATATTACCATTTGTGAAAGAGAGGAAGAAAACAGGGCACAGTCTGTCAATTGAAGATAAAAGTCTGCAGTGTCCACATACTAAATACCCAACAGTTCAAGCAAAATAAGACTTACACTAATAAGAACTATGATGGATAGTTAGGAAACTAAGGACTTCATCCAGTTCAAAAAAGCATCATTAAATCGATTGAGAAAAATAATAATTTTTTTCATTTTTTTTAATTTAATTTTTAAGTTTTTCTAAATACAGTATTTTTAGTCAGCCTCCAAATATTTAACATAACAGATTTATACATTCCAAGTACACTCTTCACCATTTATTTCAGAGTGATAACACGTGATCATCTATACAACTATATCAACCAATGGATATACCAAAACTCCCTTATCTTTATGATTAAAACATAAAGATTTACATTTAAATGTAAGCATGCTATTCACAGAATATCCCTGCAATGCACTTGTCTTAGTTAGAAATATGTTATAATTCATTGCAAAACAGTCAATTAAGTTACTCTAAAGCAATCTTTCTTCAATTTCTTTTTTAATGTAAGAAAAATCTTAATGGATTTAATTATTTCAGAAAAAAAAATAACCACCAACATTTTCATCTTTCCTGTTTTGACAAGATTCTGATTTTACTAGTTTATCAAAGAAACAGCAACCACAAATACCTTATTGTCCAGTTTCCTCGCTTCTACTTCCAATATAACCACCCTGTTATCCTTCACTTCTTCCGCTGTAATCTAGATAGGTAAACAAAATAAAATATTTGTTTTGTATTCAGGAACTAAATAGATTTCTCATATTCACAACACTCCTATAAGAGGTCCATTAAAAAAATCGCCCTTGATTACAAATGAAGCATTAAAAAATGGGGTCGAGGGAGGGAGGAACAATTGAAATTGACATTGAGATTCACTAGATGATGACACTGACAATTAAAGATACTGCCCAAACAGTAGCACATCAGATGCCATAATTATTTTGATGGATGCAATAAGACTTACAGATGTAAAACATAGACTGCTCTCCTTTTGGATTACAAAGTAGTATTAGCAGAAGAAAAAAACAAATGCTTTAAGATACTTTTTACAGTACTGCAGATTAGACACACTATGTTAAAGCTAGTAACTAAAATAAAAAAAACAAACCACAAAAACATTTAAGGATGAACGCACTGAAGAGATTTATTGTCTTACCGTAATACTTCCTCTACCAGCAGGTCTGCCATTTTTAAGCACTAATGGTTTTGTTAGAGTCCTGCTAGAAACTATCTGCCAAGACAAAATTTGAGTATCAAGCATTATTAGTGCAATTTATCAGATTTTCAAAGGAATGAAAGAAAACAGTGAGGTATTTTCATTTCCTTCATCATGAAGATGACAGCATTACATTTATTTCCCATGATCTCCTATAAATAAATAGGTAATACTTGATACACTTCAAAATTCTAAAATACATATGCAGATCAACGCATGGAGTTTCAGGAGTAATATGAAATAAAATGTCTTGTAGTAACATGATACACATTTACAATGCGGGTGGTGAAACACTGGAACAGGCTGCCCAGAGGAGTTGTGGCTGCCCCATCCCTGGAAGTGTTCAAGGCCAGGCAGGCTGTGTGAAGCTTTGAGCAACCTGATCTAGTGGAAGGTGTCCCTGTCCATAGCAGGAGAGCTAGAACTAGATGATCTTTAAAGTCCCTTCCAATCCAAACTGTTCTACAATTCTATAATACCTTAAGTTCCAATCTCAAGTTGTTCTGAAGTTTTTCATACATACCATTCAAACACATGCAAGTCATGTTTCACAAAGGGCTTCAGTTGTAAACACAATGTTTGTCATGCAAACAAACATCAGCCTCCCCCTGCAGTTTCTAGTGGATTTTATTTTATCATCTTCAGGCAGTGCTGTCTCAGAAACGTGTCTACTTATTTTACAGGTCCTTCTTCACTTTAAGAATGAATGACTAATTTTAAATTGTTAATGAATTTCATTTCATAATGCCTCCATCTTCATACTGTACTTAAAATAAAAATACTTCAGACACAGAGGAGGAAAAATCCCAAGACGACTCTCCTGAGAAGTGCTTTCAAAGGATCTATTAGAAAGAACAAGTTAGAAAGAAGCTGTCCAATCGTGACAGCATCAATAGCAGAATTTCGCAGGGAAATGGGAGTGAAATCAACGGTAGAAAAAAACAGAATCACCGCTTGCCTTGACTGGAAAGTAAATTACAAAGTTAATATGGCCCTTGTAAACATTCTTACGTTGCTATATACCAATTCTCTTCTTATGCAGCATAAAAATAAGAATTTGAGTATTAAAGGACATAAACAGTAATGACTACTTTGTGCTCATTGACAGTCAACTTACTTTCAGACAGAAAGTAACAGACTGTTACCGTTCTAGAGCACATTTCAGGGCATCAAGACCTTTTCCAAATAAAACGTATACATGCTGAACTCAAGCTTGAAAAAAATAAGTGAAGGGAATTCTGTTCAACTTAAGAGTATCCCAACTACACAAGAACACAGTGATAAATTTAAGATAAAAGTGGTTAATTGTTTGAATTCACTTGTATTTTCTTAATTCTAGGGGAAATCATCTGCATACTTACTTGTCCCAGTGTACATTCAAATTCTCCTAAGAAGTCATCATCGCTCAGATCGAAGGTTTTGTTATCGATGTCATATATTCCAAATTTGAGTTTCTGAACAAGCTCAAAATAGTAATCAATTAAGAATTTCTTGGCAAACTTCGGGTTCAAGGAATTCTTAACTCTTTCTGTGCGATCCACCTGCAGTTAGAAAAATATCACTTTATCCACTATTTCACCAACCAATAAGCACTCAATTTAAATAACGTATTATTAAAGACTTTCAAAAGTTCTTCTTAATACAACCTTTCATCAAATATAACTAACGACATTATATTACAAAACTCACTGCTGTAAGTCAGAGGTATTTGAGGACCTGTTTTCCTTTGCTCCCCATAAGGAATATCTATTCCTACACAGGAAAGACCAACGTAACAGTGATATACTGTCAAATCCAGGACGAGATCCTAGTTTTGGTGTTCTATATTTATAAAAGCACATTTAAGCACTTGGAAGGCTTCTTCTGTTGGTCCACACATGGATGGGGAAACATTGCTAAAAATCAGAAAGGTGTAAGTATTTATTAGAAAACTATTATTAGTGTGCTACCTGTATAACTATTATAGGCATAAGCTAATGAAAAGTATTCAGAGGTGCTGGTATATAATTAAAATATTTTAACGAAATCATACACTCCAGAGTTTTAAAAGGTCCAACACGGCAGACTGTGTTTTTAGCAGATTCATGAGAAGCATCACACTGTACCTCATACCAGTGCTGACCACTCGTGTTCTGGAGAAGCACACACAGCGGGTCTGACTTAGAACCAACATCTTTATCCAAGAGATTGGTGCAGGCAATAGTCAACTCCACCTTTGTCACACACTGTGCCGCCATTTGCTAATCTAGAAAGCAGTAACAGAAATCATTATTTTAACAATGGACTAAAAAGCAAACAATAGGATTGTTACGATGCATTAATTCTCTTACTGATCATTAGCTTGTCAGAAGGGAGATTTGTGGCTACAAATGCAAATTTTAAGATTTATAAAGTAACCCTAACCATTCCATGATTCTTAGAATGCTTGAGGAACCAAATGGAAAACAAGATACACCACAAAGAAAGCACAGTGGTTTGAACTGCTGACAATAAAACTTTGCAAGCCTTAAACTACATCCTGTAAAGCTCACATGAATGTCAGTATCTTATAATGTAAATATTAATAATAATTCAATGAATAAGGAAGAAAATCATATGATATACTCCCCCATCAAACATTTGTAACAAAATGCTGAAGCTGTGAGCATGGCGGAATTGGAAAAGGAGTTTAACTGGGTAACAGGAATAGATGATGTTGCTTTAGTAAATCTTTAAAACAACTACAATTTTTAATAATAAACAACTTTGAAGTCAAGTAACAACTGAGAATTAGGAGGAAGTGTTCTTTCTGCAGATTTGTTTGAAAAAAGAACAACTGAAAGCTTTCTCACATTTTCTCTTAAGTATCTCACTCATTTTCCACTGAAACTGAGAAGACCAGAAGATATTACAAACCTACAGAAACAACTTCACTATCAGTTATGAATTCCACTCTGGGATAATGTGCATTTACAAGCCTAATTAGGTCTGAGCAGCAGGTATTTTTTATATAAAAAAAATCTCTGTAACTATACTCTTCAGGAATACAGCTGATCATTTCCAACACCTCTTTGGGAGGTGAGCCTCTACGGGCCAATTGCCCTTGACTCAGAGACTAAAACTTCCAAATCTTTCCACAAGCAGCCTATCTTGGAAGCTCCCAAGCCCCTTCAGCTTAAAGTTCTCCTTCTCTACAGTAAGTCCACAGTCTAGACACAGTTTCTCTCTGGATTAATTTACCTTGAAAGCGCATGAGACACTAAACAGAATAAGGAAGGAAACATCTGCTTCTACCTAGTCAGCTCACTTGCATCATACACATATAGTGTACCTGAACATGAAACTATACTTAACCCAACCCAACTCTCTTCCATTCACTGCATTCATATGAGTTTTGGTGGAAAGGAACTTTGTTTAGAAGCAAAAAGGGAAAGGAAGATGGAAAAGAGGAATGATGAACTGAAAACAGGAGAAAGAAAATGCTGTGCTCTGAGGGAATCTTCCTGAGGCTTCCTGTGTTCCACTAGCACACACTTCACACATTGCCTCTCCATCTCTGTTTTGCTATCTTAGAGATGGACCTTTTGGAGACTGAAGTAAATATAAATGATTGGTAAAGAAACCATTCAAACATCCATGCACATATATTATTTTAAGAAGCATGTCAGATTCACAGAAATCCTCTGGCATCTCCCAAACACCTTAATGTGAGTCCATCTTTGAGTATCTTTTGCTTCCATGACTCTACCAAATCTAAGTCATTGTCCATGAGGGAAAAAAAGTGAAGCTCTAAGTGTTTAAATTGTTTTTAAACCAATGGGGTTTAGGCTTAAAAAGCATAGCTTTAATAGGCAGTCTGCCTCCTTTCTCCTAGTTTTCTTTTTATACTGGTATTTTCCACTCCCTGTTGCTTTCCTGGCTGCCAGACAGAGCTCATTAACAGTCAGCGGCTTTGCCCATAGAATCCAGCGCAGACCAGTGCATGACTCCTTAGTGGTTGCTTCCAGAAAACAACTTTCTGCTGACAAAATGATGCTCTAATACTCACTGAGTAGAGACAGCAAGTAGAAAGAGTTTTCATGGAGTTCGACAGAATTCAAACTTGAATTGAGGCATATTTCTCAAAACAGTCAGAATTTTCTGTTCTATCTTTCCTAAAACTCATTATTACAAGTCTCTGAAAGGATTTGCAGCCACATTTCTTTTATTAAAGTAACATTTCTAAAACCACTGGTAAACAGATAGCATCCAGTCAACCTAAAACTCTGGTCCACTTTTTCTACTTAGCCTCTGTGTGTGTGTGCATGTTGCACTTCTCTTCTATTACAAGTACCTTCTCACATGAATACATCAATTCTGTTACTTCCTCTCCCCCTCCTCATGCCACTGACTCTCCCACTATGCATCTAATGTGGGACAAGAGCATATTTAGCAAAAAAGGTACTGTGCAAAAAGCATCCTTTAACACATATAGAAAGGAAGAATAAAAAAAGCTGCTTCCCTTCTCTAAAATGCAAATGTTCTTGTTTGAGACCTAATAATTGCATCCATATGAGATAAAAGACAACTTATAACAAGAACATGCATTTATCCAAGTGGAGGATACTCAAGTTGAAACCCAGATACAAAAGCAGAACTTCCCAAAACCTGAGATGGTCCTTTAATCTCTTCCATTTCCAGTTTTGCAAAATCCAAGATGAAAAACAATGCGGTGCATTTTCCTCAGAGGTGTTGAGAATATTAGGAATCAATATTTGTAGAATGGGTCGAAGACGTTTGTAATATTTCTAACGCATTTCACAAAGTAATTTGGCTATTTTACTTGGAAAAAAGACAACATGATTATCCATAATACCATAAGACGAATACATATTACGGTACATAGTTGTATACAACCTGATTTTCAGTAACATTATGAACATTAAAAGTTAGTAAAATATGAGTGAGAAAAAGTCATAATCTCATTAATCCAAAACAGTATTTATGGTAGTGAAACTCAGTACAAAACCAACAGATACTTCTCTTAAAACATTGCTGTCATCACTGAACTTGCAGAGGGCACACAGATGCTTCACATGTGTGAACTCAGAAGTCTTTTAAACAGCAATAGATGTTGGAGCTCTAGTAGGCAAATCAGATGCAAAATATTCTAAGTACATGACTGGATTCATTGCACATTTGAGATACTGGAATAACTTTACATGGACAGATGATATTGTTTTGGCGCTGGCAGGATGAGCCTTGACTACCAGTAAGTTACATCACATAACAAGAGACTTGTTTATTCAATTAATTATTGTTATGAAAGTAACTATGCTCCCTATTGGCCAAATATTATTAAAACCTCTGCTTTTCTCAAGCTATCAACTGTTTGTCCTCCATGTAGAGTACACCGTAAGTGAGGTAAAGCGCACCAGAATGGGGCCAGATGAGAGCTCAATAGTCCTTTTTATTCAAACAGCTTCTATGACAACAAGAGTGTAAAACACCAATAATTCTGGACAGGAGAAGACTGGAAATTACTATATAAACTGCAAGGCAGAATTTGTGACATCCAGACTCTGAACTGCAGCAACTTGCGGTCCCAAGGGAAGTACCTGTTCCTCATTCTATGCCATGTCTAGGCTGCTCAAGAGCATGATTAGGTCAACTAAGTATACTACAAGCCTTTCCACTTGAATTGTGATTAACAAAGCAAAACTGTAAGTCAAGGACTAGTCTCATCTTGCAGTTCCACCAATCATAACGTTCTTTGAATTCCTCTAATGATTTTATTGAAGATAAGTGGCCTCCACCAAATAACCCAGCCAATGCCTGCTTTTCAAAAGAAACCATAAACATGGCATTTTACTTGGAAAGGAACAGATCTGTTATCAGAATAATCTTCTAGCAGAGCACTTAGGAACTGTTCGACTGCAGCAATCCTGTCAATGCTGCAATACTAGAGGAGAACAAAGGCTTGCCTTCCACTGCAGTACAATGACATATTCATAGCTATAGGTGCTTCCCAATCTGACAAGCAGAAATACATAACAAGAAGACGACAAAAAGACTATGAAGTGAGCACTGCTCTAGCTGGGTTTGGTATCACTGCGTTCAGTCACAAGTCTCAAACCTGTTCTGATGTAAGCTGTTACTGTCATAGAACATTTCCTGGTTCCTATGAACTACTAATAACAATAGACCAAAAATCCGTATTTTGCAGTCACCTCAGGGTCCAGACGGACACGGAAAAAGCAGAGGAAACATTTCAGAACTTGCTACTAAAGTCTATTCCTGATCAGCTCATCTTCTAGCTATAATGCTACACTGAAGCATTTTATGAAAACTGTGTGCCAGACTGAAAAAGTCAGTACCATATATAAGCAGTGCTCTGATCCTTCTTGGATTATTAAGTACTTCCCATAAACCTGGGCAGATGATAACATGGAAATAAATTAATTACTCAGACAGACTATACAAATGAAAGCCTTGAACCAACTAAAATCACGTTGTCGTGGGTTAGGCCACTCCGGCAACCAAACCCTACACAGTCGCTCACTCACCCTCCCCCCCAGCCCCAGGGATGAGGGAGAGAATTAAAGGATAAACGGGAAACCCGTGGGTTGAGATAAGAACAATTTAATACAGATGATTTAATACACAGTGTAGATGCTCACCACCCCCTCGTATGCGAAGCCCGTCTCGTCCCGAAGCAGCAAACCCGGACAAACGCGAGGCCCCAAAATAGAGAGGGGCAGAGAGAGAGAGAGTACTCCAAGAGTGGGAGTACTGGGAGAGAGAGGAAAAAAAAGGCAATAGAGCAAAAGCGCAGAAGCGGCGAAAGAGCCAAAGCGCAAAAAGCCCTTCCTTCCAGCTGTCCCTCACTTTTATACTGGGCATGACGCTGCATGATATGGAATACTAATTGGCCAGTTTGGCCCTCAATCTTAAGTTCCACCACAAATTACAAGGGGAATCGTGGCCCCCTTATCCCGCCGTGCTTCTGCACTCCGGCCAGAACACAGCACACTGAAAAGTCCTTGGAGTTTCACTTCCAACTACAAACATCAGCTTGCTATCAACATCCTTCTCAGAGTGAGCCTCTGAGTAAAACCAAAACACGGAGCTCTTCTAGCTGCTAAAAAGAAGAGCTAACTCTGTCGCAGCTAAAACCAGGACACAGGCGCATGAAGCTTTACTGTCCTGAACATTCAGTGTATGCAATTGTTCAGTCTCTGCTCTTTCAGACAGGACTAAGATAACACTTCTTGCAAAGAG